GTCGGATTTCTCCCCTATGAGATCATATAACGACGAGATCAACTCTGCAACGTCCTGACGAAATCGGATCGAGTCTTCAAGGGCCAGTCTGAATCTAGGCCCAAAATTACATGTAAATCCATTAACAAAATGGGTTTAATAGATTAATGAGCCTAATTATAATACACTGCTTAATGGGCCAAATTCATTTATTAGCTGGCCCACTTTAATTAGAAGTACTATATATAAGTTATTGTACTCACCTAGAAAAGGGATCGATTCATTTGTAACTAGAGCTCAAGCAAAAACAGCAATAAAACATATTTTCGACTTTTTCTTTGTGATTCATACACAGAAGACTCAGTTCTCCTTTCAACCCTTGACAAATTTAACTGTGTAGGATCCGCCGTCCACAGTTTGGCGCCGTCTAAGGGGAGTTGAGATCTTTTTACTCGAAGGAATCACTCGGTAAGCAACCTAAGCACGATGATTGACCAGCGCGGCGACACACCTGGCGACAAAGACGTAGCAGCAAACCTCGTAAGACATCGCTAGGAGCGACAACACCGGTGACAACCGCGTCGGCAGCAGCAGCGAGGACTCTTCGGCGTCATCGCCAGACAACATGACTAGCAGCGACAGCAGCAGCAAGGACTCCTCAGCGTCGCAGCCAAACAACACGGCCACCAGGAGCAGCCAGGCAGGCGACGACGCTGTCGACGGCACCGCGACGAATCGGACAACCTTGGGCGAACTGAAAGACATGCTGAAAACGCTTCTCAAGAAGCCAGCGGAGCAGGAGGACAAACTGAAGGTTCTCACGACAACAAGAAAGGCGCGCAAGAAGGGCAGAGCACGACGATCACTTGGGCGGTTCAAGCTGTACAACCTCAACTTCTCGACGCCACGCACGGTATGGAGAACCAGAAGTGACATACCATCGCCACTGTAATGACCCGCACAATGACCCAGCAGAAGCCAAGGTAAGCAGCGTGCTAGGATGCTTGGTGACCGAGCAGGGTGCTTGCTCTGGTCGTGGGTAGATCATGGGTAAGCCCGTGCCTGGGTCATGTCTGAGTGTGTCGACCACACGCCAGTGCGTGTTGCGCACACGCCTGGTCTTAGGCATCATCACCACCTCGTGTCGAGCTTAGGACGTTACCCGTGGGTAAAGAATGGGCAAGTGGCCGTGAGCTGTCCAGCTGCTTCACCTGCTTGGGCGCGCCTATTTAAAGGTCGGCCCGACCTAGTAAGCAGAAAACACGAGAATTTCTGTCTTGTCCGAACATAACTTCTTTTCACCGCAAACTTTCATTCCAAACGGTAGCCTAGTTCGTGATCGTCCCATCCGATCAGTCCATCCGAACCGAGTAGTCCATTTTCTAGTCCACTGCAAATCATAGAGTAGTTTCGCCGCGAGCCTTGTCGAGCAGATTTGGAAAAACTTACGATAAGTTTCCCGTGATCGAACCTTACCATTTTCAAAGTGATTTTTCGTGCTGATCATGAATCTAATCTTAGTTTCTTGATCCGATGGCTCGACCGTGTTCTAAACTAGGTATGATCCGTGGGCGTTCCCATCTAATTTTTCATGCGAAAATTCTAAGTCTTGTCTTAGTAATCCGTGAACCTTTGGAACAGATTTTTAGCT